GGTTACACCGATGCTAGTTTCCAGTCAGACCCGGATGACTACAGATCGCAGTCTGGCTATGTTTTCTGCTTGAACAGAGGCGCTGTTAGCTGGAAGAGTTCTAAGCAAGCGACCGTTGCAGATTCTACTACAGAAGCTGAGTATATTGCAGCGTCGGACGCAGCAAAGGAAGCTGTTTGGATCAAAAAGTTTGTTGGAGACTTGGGTGTCATTCCTAGTGCTGATAGCCCCGTTGCTATGTATTGTGACAACAATGGAGCGATCGCACAAGCGAAAGAACCCAGATCCCATCAACGATCCAAACATATACTAAGATGATTTCACCTTATCAAGGAGATCATAGACAGAGGAGACGTGCACATTTGCAGAGTGTCGATAGATGACAACATTGCCGATCCGTTGACGAAGCCTCTCCCTTCGTCGAAGCATGAGGGTCATGTTAGGGATATGGGCATTAGATGTTTAGCAGTCCATGATTAGAGCAAGTGGGAGATTGTTGGTTTAGTGCTCTATGATGTACTGTTTTGCGAGCTTTATTTAGATACATTTGATGTATTGACACTTTCTATGAGTTTATGGATGAGTGTTTGATTCGTTAAGTATTGTGCATACTTGATATGTTATGAAGTCCATGTATTGTTATGAACAATACTAAACTCCCTAGTCATGTATCATTGTGGGAATAAAGATATACTAAGACTAGTATGATGTGTGATTGATGATCATATAGATGATCATAGGTATTGGATACGATCACGATCATAGGTATTCGTTGGAGAACGGAATACTGGAATGACCCGCATGAGATTGTCACATGGACTAGCGTCATGACTTGAAACACATATGGCGGTCCCATGATTGGATCCTAAGACCTGAGATATCTACGTAATCCAACATGAGGAGTTACGTGCTTTGAATACGTCAAACGTCCTGCGTAACAGGGGGACTATAAAGGCGTGTATCAGGTACGAAACAAATCATGTGCTAGATTATAGATAGTCAAGACGAGATTTGTATCTCTCGTAAAAGAGAGAGATATCGCTGGGCCCCTCGTGTGAGCGAGACTGTAGAAATGTATGGTCGCACTATAGACGAACGTCGTCTATTTCAGACAGTCTAACTCAGTGAACGAGAAAGCAGTCTAATCAGATAAGGTGGTTTGTCCATGCCTTATGTTCGACATATGATTTCGCGATGCAAAAGGATCATCAGCCGGAATCATCACTGCATTCGTAAGATCACGAACAAACTCTATTCGAGATAGGTAGTCATAGTGTCTTGCTAGAGACCGCCTATGACTTGTATATCCGAAATAGAGATTCCGGGTTATACTGCTATATCGAATGAGCCTACAGGGTCACACACGCAGGGAATGACAAAACGCACGAGAAAACGACGGAAAAACCGAGACGGAAGGGGCTGGAACGGATGGACCAAAAAGGCCAGACCCGACGGTCCGCCAGGTCCAGACCCGACGGTCTAGAACGCAGTCCGTCCGTTCTGGCTTGCTGGGACGGACGGGCCACGTGCATTTCTGGACCATCCGTTATGGCCTTTGGGTTTTTCAAAAATTAGACCGAAATTAGTGTTAAATCACTTTATAAGAAGGAGATTAAACCTAATTACGTAAGAGACTTTGGCAGCCGTCCGGGGTAAACTTTTGATAGTTTTTGGTGAGATCCAAAAGGTCCAAGAGTTTCCAAGTCTCGTTTTCTTGAAGCATCATACCGAATAGCTGATTCGGGTCCTAGCAGACAAGTTCCAATCGTTGGAATCCATCCCGAGGTGTGGATACGTGTAGAGCGCGAGGTAATCTTTTTGCCTAAACTGATCGAACGAATTCTTCAGTTGATACAGGCCCTGGATCGATTGAGGTAAGCGTTCTAATGTTTCTACGATTCATACATGCAAGGTTCTAGGGTTCATATAAATTTTTGTTTTACATCCGCTGCGCAAACCCTAGAATCGATCTCTTAGGAATAGGATTCGTTCTAGAGATCCCGACTTATGATATCGTGATACAAAAGAATCATCAGCCGGAATCATCACTGGCGTTGGTAAGATCACGAACAAACTCTATTCGAGATAGGTAGTCATAGTGTCTTGCTAGAGACCGTCTATGACTTGTATATCCGAAATAGAGATTTCGGGTTATACTGCTATATCCAATGAACCTACAGGGTCATACACGCAGGGAAGGACAAAACGTACGAGAAAACGATGAAAAACCCGAGACAGAAGGGTCTAGATCGGATGGACCAGAAGGGCCAGACCCGACGGTCCATTAGGTCCAGACCCGACCACCGAAGGCAGAGCGTCCGTTCTGGCTTGTCTGGAACG